GTCGCTCTTGCTGAAGCTGGTATCGAACCATTGAGCTCAGATCCACCCACCTCGGCCTCCCAGAGTGCTGGGATTACAGGCTTGAGACACATGTGCTGTGAAATTTTTAAAGATCATTCATCATATCATTTGTGAAAGAAGTTTAAGGCATAGTAAGTATATCCTTATTTTTTTTAACTCTATTTTTATCAACATAATTTGACTGTGCCACAGAAGTTTAACTGTAGGTTCAAGTGTGCTGTGAGATAAAAAAGATGAGAAACACTGGTCTAGACCCACATTCTCTCTGACTGTGTTACTTGTTTCTCAGAACCAGGAATCATTCATAGTTGCCAACCACATGACGCTGGTGAGTCCACATGAAGGACTCATGGTCTTTGGCAAGCGGTCATCAACGGGATCCTTAAGGGAGAATAATAAGGGCTGATTTGTAGGGTTGCCAATTTCACTGGTGTAAATATTCTCACCATCATCGTTTTCAAGCTGTCACTGTGAAGTCACGGATGAGGAAAGAGACAGGCACAGTCGGCTCCTGTGAGCCCGTGTGAGTAGGGTCCAGCACGGCACAGCCACGGATCCCCTCTGCCTCATCACACGGATGCCTGTGGGGCAAACCTTTTACTGTTTTCTTACATTTATTCACCCATCTTTTTTTTTGCAGTTTTTGGCCAGGGCTGGGTTTGAACCCACCACCTCCGGCATATGGAGCCAGTGCCCTACTCCTTTGAGCCACAGGCACTGCCCCTCACCCATCTTCTTCATGCTGTAATTCCTCCATCAGAACTCTGCTCCCTGCTCAGCCCTCTCAAACCTCAGGTCTACTTTACAAGCCATTTAAAAACATCTATCATGTTTCAGGTTCACCTATGTCTGGTTCCAGTTCTTTTAATACTGAAGTTTATCAGTCACCCAACTGTTTTGCCCCTCTACTCCAAGCAGTTAAAATTGCTCTGAAAAGCGCAATCCCCCCATGAAGATGCATGCTGCTCATGAAGGCAGGAGACTTAGGGAGCAGTTGAGAATTTTCACTCGAGATGATGGAAATTTAGGTGCTTGGCAACCTGAAAGATCTATACCTCAGAATTTTGTGAAAATACTGACTACTAAATAAATACCAGCACATCTGGTCCACGTCCTTCTCCTGGACACATGAGGGTGGCGACCTTGCCACTGACTGAGATCTATGCACAGTGCTCTGCCCTTACCAAATCACACATTTTAAGTCAAAATGCCATAGTGAACAAATAACTTTCCTTTAGTATTTCAGCAGTTGGTAAGTTAACAGGAATTTTTCAATGATTTGAATAGTTCAACCTTTTACTTTATTTCTATATTCTCTCAGACTTGTCTTTTTTTGAGACATAGTCTTACTCTGTTACTCTGAGTAGAGTGCTGTGGTGTCACAGCTCATAGCAACTTCAAATTCTTGGGCTCAAGCAATCCTCCTGCCTCAGCCTCCTGAGTAGCTGGGACTATAGGACCTTCCACAATGCCCAGTGGAGGATTTAGCCAGTGGGACCTCTGATAGCGAAGCCTGGACACTTAATCTGCAGCATGTGTGCAGACTCGGCCCACAAGTATATCAGACAGGGTGTGGGACCCAGTGGCCTCTGACCTGCCCACCCATGTTAATTTTTGACCTCCTAAAAATATGTTTCAGTACATTAGAAAAACTGTGCGTTCTCCCTTTACCAGAATGTCTGCTGGTCCCACAACTGCTCAGCGGCCATTCATACTGGGGAGCCACCGGGGCAGTCTGTAGTTCAGGAGTCCCTTGAACTCCTGAGCTCAAGCAATTTACCCACCTCGGCCCCCCAGAGTGCTGGGATTATACGCATGAGCCACTGTGTCCAGCCTCTCAGGCTTGTCCTTAAAGCCTGAGACCTGTGGCCCCTGAGCTGCCCGTCCATGTTAATTTTTGACCTTCTAAAAATATGTTTCAGTAAGTTAGAAAAGCCGCGTATTCTTCCTTTACCAGAATGTCTGCTGGTCCCACAGTTGCTCAGTGGCCATTCATAGCGGGGAGCCCCCAGGGCAGACTGTAGAAATGTGTCCCACGTGGGCTGAGTCTGCACACATGCTACAGATTAAGTGACCAGGCTTCACAATCAGAGGTCCTCTTACACCAGTGACAAGCAAACACTCTCACCCTCTATCTGCCCCCACAGCTGCCACAACCCCTGCATCTCTGCAGAATCCCAGTGGCTCCACTCAGCAGCCAGGGAGCCTGCAGCACTGCCACTGCACAGTTCTGGGGTCCACACTTCACAGCCCACAGCCCGCAGCTCTGCCCAGTGGGGTGTAACTGAGGGAATACATACCCTTTTGACTCTCAAACTGCGCCGTTCAGTGGAGTTTCTCACAAACAGTGATTTTTTAGCCAGGGTTGAACTGTCACTGTCGCTCCGATTTAACTGGCAGAAAGATTAAAAAAAAAAAAAACCACAAAAAACAACCAAACAAAAGTTGAGCAAATGAAGCAGGTACTGATAATCTAAGTTTATTTCTTTAAATAAAATCCTCCCAAACAAGTTTTCCCCATTCTATGCTTTTCTTAAATAACTTCATTTTCTTCTTCTTCTTCTTTTTTTTCCTGAGACAAAGTCTCACCCTATCATCCTGGGAAGAGTACAGTAGTGTCAGCTCACAGTGACCTCAAACTCCTGGGCTTATGTGATCCTTCTCCCTCAGCCCCCCCAAGTAGCTGGGAACACATGTACCTGCCACAATACCTAGCCATGTTTTTTGGGGTTTTTTTGGGGGGGGTTGCAGTTGCCATTTTGTTTAGCAGGTCCAGCCAGGCTGGGCTTGAACCCGCTACCTTCAATGTATGTGGCTGACACCTTAGTCACTGAGCTACAGGCACTGAGTCTGTCTAGAAGTATTATTAGGAGAAGATTTCTGCTTTAAAATCCAGTTCACAATTTCAAGTTCAGAAAGACTAACATGGTTTGAAACATGCATGACACAGACCAGAATACACGTATATCACTTTATGTTTCTAAATAGAGGTTAAAGTCCAAATACATATACTTAGTCACCAGATCCTTTTATTAACACTTAATTGCCAAATAAAATCACATTAGAACCAATGAGATATTAAATTTAGGGGAACAACTAAGTTAGACCCTCGGAGCGTACTCTTCCCTGTATATTCCCTGGCTCCCTTTGCAGCCAGCTTGGGAAGATTCCTGGTGCACAGGCTCCTGTCCCCAGGGGCCACTCCGTGCGAGGCAGAGGGGACAGGCTGCAGCCTTACCCTGCAGATGTACTGGCTCCGCTGTCCTGGGGAAAAGGTCTGGGAACGCACAATCACGCTGCTTCTCACAAGCGGGTGCTGCGGGGCGCTCAGGCCGCTGCGGTCTTTGGGGCGAACTGCCACGTTGTCACTGGCCGCTTCATCTGTATTTGTCTCTTTATCGACCTACAAAGGAAGTGGAAGTCAGCGCTTTGTCAGGAGCTGATGTGTGTAAGGAAGGAAGAAATAGGAGCGAGGGGGACACCTTTACGCTGTTGGTGGGACTGTAAACTAACACAGCCTTTTTGGAGAAAGTATGGAGAATCCTTGAAGAACTCAAAATTGACCTTCCATTTGATCCCACAATCCCACTACTAGGCATCTACCCAGAAGAAAACAAATCATTTTATTATAAGGACATTTGTACTAGATTATTTATCACAGATCAATTTATAATCACCAAGACGTGGAAACAACCTAAATGGCCCATCAACTCAGGAATGGATTAACAAACTGTTTTATATGTTTACCATGGAATAGTATTCAGCCATAAAAAGATGAAGGCTTTAGGCTGAGGCAAGATAATTGCTTGAGCCCAAGAGTGTGAGGTTGCTAGGCGCTATGATGCCACGGCACTCTACCAAGGGTGACAAAGTAACACTCTGTCTCAAAAAAAAAAAAAAGAAGAGAGAGAGAGAGAGAGATGGAGACTTTACATCTTTTTTTATTAACTTAGATGTAGTTGAAACACATTCTTCCTAGTAAAGTAGTACAAGAATGAAAAAGCAAGTGTCCAATGTACTCAATACTAATATGAGGCCAGTAGAGGATCTAATCTACGCCCACACTAGAGATAGACTCAATTCAATGTAGGCTAGGGGGTGGGGGAAGGAGGAGGGACGAAGAGAAGGAGAGGGGGGACTGGGGTGCTCCCATCTAATGGACACAATGTAAGGGGCAGTACACAATTACAAAAGGGACTCTACCTAACAAGTACAAACATTGTAACCTAGTTGTCTGTACTCTAACATTAACCTGAAGTTAAAAAAAAAAAAAGAAAGGAAGAAATATCTAAAGTTACATATACACAAAAGAAATATCTAATGTCAGGACAGAGACTCATCTAACAAGAGGGCTGCTTCCAAAGGGCAACCGAGGAGAATGGCTTTCTACTGAGTTCTCAGCACGGTAGATATCTCCCTACCCACAGCAGGTAGGGTGATAGCCGTCCAGTGAGGCTGCCTAAATAGAAGTGTCACCTCCAACAGTTTAGACACAAAAGCGGAGGTTTAGACTTAAGGAGGTTCTATAAGGAACCCTATTTGGGAATGTATCATCCTTAAACTTTATTCAAGATTCTCATTAATTTATTTCAGAGTAAATGATAGAAATAATTAAACACAAGAAATTGAAAATATACCACAAAGTTGTAGATTTAAATAAAATATGCAGTTACATACATATGAATATAACAACTGTTATGAAGCTGAGTTTGGATTTATACTGGATTTTTGGCAATGTAACAAAAATAAAATTCAAGTAAAAATGGAAAATTCTCAAAATATAAATTTGGTAGGTGTAGGCTGATGTCTGTTTTTTATCATATGGGTATAACTTGATTCTGAACATGCCTCTTTTTTTTTTTTTTTTTAAGACAGAGTCTTACTCTGTCACCCTGGGTAGAGTGCTGTGTCATCATAGCTCACAGCAACCTCACACTCTTGGGCTCCAGCCTTCCTCTTGTCTCAGCCTCCTGGGTAGCTGAGATTATAGGTGCTCACCAGCATGCCCAGCTAGTTTTTTTATTCATAGTAGAGATGGGGTCTCACTCAGCGTGGTCTCAAACTCCTGAGCTCAAGCAATCCCCCTGCTTTGGTTTCTCAGAGTGCTGGGATTACAGGTACGAGCCACCAGGCCCTGCCCCAAACATGCTTTTTGATGAAAATTTGCTCCTTTGTGAAAGATGTCCTCAGTCAGGGTATAATATTACTTCCTCAGGAAGAAAGAATTAGAACTTTCTAAATTCTATTACCAATATCTCAAGTGTGTAACATCATCAAAGCTTGAAAATAATCTTCCTCGTTCGGGGATGGCAGTCTCAATACATCTTTCACTCATCTAGCAAAATTACCTGCTTAATAACTTGGTTAGCTCCTGTCTCTAAACCAAGCCATCAGCCACCTTCCACAGAAGATTTAAATCAGAACACTATCTAACCAAAACGAACTTTAAACATTTACTTTTGAGGCAGTGCCTGTGGCTTTGTGAGTAGGGTGCTGGGCCCATAGACAGAGGGTGGTGGGTTTAAACCCAGCCCCGGCCAAAATGCAATGAAAAAGTCCCCGGGTCTTGTGGCGGGTGCCTGTGGCCCCAGCTATTCAGGGGGCTGAAGCAAGAGAATCGCCTAAGCCCAAAAGCTGGAGGTTGCTGTGAGCTATAACACCACAGCACTCTACTGAGGGTGACAAAATGAGACTCTGTCTCTTAAAAAAAAAAAAATTACTTCATGTTTGAAATGGAAACAAACTCATAACATACATTAAACTTGTTATAATTTAGTCATCCCTGCTATCATCCAAGACATTCAGAACATACATTAAAAAATTCACAGAATATTTATAAAGATTTAAAGGAGCCAGCACTACTTCTATTCTTTTATCAAATACAAGCAGAGATTTGTTATTTTAGGTTCACTTAAAAATCTCAATGTATTTACAAGGCTTCCTAGAGCCTAGTCCCACAAATGAGGACAGACCTGAACGGACAAACAAGCATGTCCCTGGTCTACAAGGTGCCTACAGGATATGTGTTTTAGGGGCGCAGATGTATAGTCACCAGGGTTGGTATTCCAGCAGGTGGTTGGCTTCTCAGGTCATTGGCACAGTTATTTTCTTTCTGGCTGCTGTCTTCGTTAATCCCGGACACACTAGTGTGTGAACTTAAGTCTTCTGTACAGCTACTGCCCTTTGGCATTTTAACTTCAGCCTCTTTTTCAGCCACAATTTCATCAGAGGCCTCTCCCAGCATTGTCAACCTATGGTGAAAGGACACGATACAGAAACAAAATACACTTTCGGTCAGGTGGGCGTGCTCCATGGACAGTGCAGCTGGGGCTTACCAACCCGTTAGCTGGGAAACAAGTGACAGACTCACACATAATGATCTGGCCATTTCTGGTACTTTTGACTAAATGTCTCATAAAAAATAGAATTCTTACTTTGTAGGAACCTGCAGCAAAATCACCATAATGTGGTTCTAAGTTAAAATTCATAAAATATAACCTAATTTCTAGGTATTAAAATAGACACATTCTGAGACTCATAATAACAGTTTGATCTCAGCACTTAAATATATTGACACCCACTATAAAATAACTTGGTATTGGTTGTTAATTGACTGTAATATTAATCACGGAACAAAACGGAGTTACTCTCAGCTAACAGTTAATTAAGACTCTTAGTCCAGCAGCGAGAGCCCTGTGTTTTACTACTGAACTAGCGAGGACTCCTAGTGCCATAGGATTTCATCATTAACAAAAGCCCTGGGCTCAGCACCTGTAGCTCAGAGGCTAAGGGCGCTGGCCACATACACCAGAGCTGGTGGGTTCGAATACAGCTCCCTACTGCCAAACAAAAACAACAAACAAATGGCTGGGCGTTGTGGCGAGCGCCTGTAGTCCCAGCTACTTGGGAGGCTCAGGCAAGAGAATCGCTTAAGCCCAAGAGTTGGAGGTTGCTGTGAGCTGTGACGCCATGGTGCTCTACTCAGGGCAACATAGTGAGACTCTGTCTCAAAAAACAAACAAACAAACAAAAACAAAAGCCCTGGCATGAGCCTGAGTGACATTACAAGTGCTGCCCCAGGATGTAAGCGCAGTTTCTATAGAACACACAATGCAAAAGCACTAGGAGGGCTTGGGACATGAGTTTCATGTCTCAGAGTGGGAATATTTTCCCACTGGTCACCAAATGTCCGGCTTTGATGGAGATTGGTGATAACGTGACAAAGTGGCATGGGCTAGCCATGAAAAGAACATAAAGGGAATCAGCGATGACCACAATGAATGATAAATTCCTTTATCTACACACTGAGTGTATTTTTTGGAGATAGTTGTAAAACAAGTTGTATTTTACATGTATGAGGAAAGCTTAGTATTTAAAGATGCTGTGATGAACCTTATAATTACTATTGTAGTTATTTGTTTTGCAGTGCTGATTTTTATTTACTATGAAGAGTTTTTGATAAGCACAAAGTAGAACTACATCTTTTATGTCAGTGTTTATGATATACTTTGTCGCTCTGAGTTTCTAAATAGTTTTATATGTATATATACATACATACAAATGCATGCTATGATGTATATGCACGTGTTAACAGGAGTATAAGCAACTATATATAAAAATTAATCTAAATAACTTTACATACACATCATTAAAAATGAAGTATTCACTAAAATTTGTTTTTAGAGAAACCAGTACAAACAGGAAAAGGAAAGACACCTTTTTATACACACACACAAATCTGGACAAGTGCAGTAATAACCTCCTCTTTCCCCTGCCCCTGCTTTAAGGCGTGAGGTACAGATACAGAGAAGAAAACAGAAAAAGAAGGTGAAAGTGGTAAAGAAATGACTACTCAGCCGTTTGCCAAAGGCTCTATTTATCTTACGAGAGACTAAATGGTGCTTCTGGGTAGTTAAAAAAAAGAATCTCTCTGAAATTTATCTATGACTCTACAATAAGCTTCCTTATCTTTTTTTTTTTTTTTTGAGATGGAGTCTCAAGCTGTCCCCCTGGGTAGAGTGCTATGCCATCACAGCTCACAGCAACCTCCAACACCTGGGCTCAAGCGAGTCTCCTGCCTCCGCCTCCCAAGTAGCTGGGACCACAGGCGCCTGCCACAACGCCTGGCTATATATATTTTTTGAGGGGGTTGCAGCCATCATTGTTGTTTGGCGGGCCCGGGCTGGATTTGAACCCGCCACCTTAGGTGTATGTGGCTGGCGCCTTAGCCACTTGAGCCACAGGCGCCGAGCCATCTTTTTTTTTTTTTTGACAGAACCTCATCCTGTTGCCCTGGATAGAGGGGCTGGGGTGTCACAGCTCACAGCAACCTCAAATTCCTGGGCTCAAGTGATCCTCCTGCCTCAGCCTCCCAAGTAGGTGGGACTATAAGTGCCTGCCACCACTCCCAGCCAGTTTTCTATCTTTAGTAGAGATGGGGTCTCACACTCCTGAGCTCAAGCAATCCACCCACTTCAGCCTCCCAGAGTGCTGGGATTACAGGTGTGAGCCACTACACCTGGCCTTTTCTTATCTTTTAAAATTGATAGTTTAGATTTTTTTTTTAATAGAAGCTCAGAAAATAGTGATTAACAATGAAAACAAGAATAGAACATCTGGTTAATGTGTAAACTTTGCCCACAGTCTTTCCAAATTACCTCCTCCAACTCTCTGATGACCAAGGAAAGACTTCCCCTGGCCAGAGCTCAGTGAAGCCACACTGCCTTTCAAATTCTAGAATAAAATGTGGCCCTATGAAGATTTCCCTGAAGGTTTCTTATGAGAATCTAAATATATGCTCTTTGAGTTCCCAAAGCAAGAGGAAACAAGCACTTTACCAATCTCCATCTGGACCCCTCTGCTCTTCTTCCTGCCCTGGTTCATCCTCCTCTTGTTCTTGTGCTAATTCTTGTTCCACAGCCAACAACTCCGCTGAGGTTCTTGCAAGCAAGGCTGACACTGCATCCTGGAGAATGTAAAACATACGGCAATTAGCATCACAGACTTGGAAGATGATTTAAAACCTCATCAGATGGAGACTTGTATTTCCAGCTATGAAGACGCAGCTTGTAACAAATCCAACTCTCCTGCTGGGAACAAATATGAAGCTGAATTAAAAAACAAACAAACAAGCAAACAAATAAAAACTCTCAGATGTCTTGAAGCAATGTGGAGCAACAAAGGCAAGTAGGACCCGAGGGCCGAGATCTCAGGAAGAAGAGAAATACAATGAGGTGAAGTCACTGCCATTCCCGCCCCTTTGGGTGACTGCCAGTTCTAACAGTGGGGTGCGCAGGCTGAACACACCTGGCTGCCCAGAACTGAGGCGGCGTCAGGAGGACGGGAAGACCGAACCGAGTCCAGGACTACCAAGGCGCTGGGTCCACAAGAGCCCAGAGAATAAGAACCGTGAAGAGAGCCCAGTGTTGGGCAGGATATTCCATCCAGGCATTTGCTGTCCCTAAGCTGCCTGCGTGCAGAGCGAGAAGCTGAGAAACAAGCAGAAAAGCAGCTGCCAGGAGGCTAACAAGGCAGGGAGGTGTTTCTCATGTGGTACCCGAGAGAGAAAAACTGGAGTTCAGGTCCCCAGGCAATTTGGACAATCTGCCCGTACTGTAATTGGCCTTCTAAAGAATATGAAATCCTCTCTGGAGGCAGTATCAGCCAGGCACAATCATGTGTAATCTCTGGCATTCCATCAGGACGGAAGGCAACAGGAAGAGCTCACAGGTGATCTATGCACTGCAGGTATTTTTTGTTGACAAATTCAAAGTATTTCCACCACTCCCAGGCAGCCAGTTTTCTATTTTTAGTAGAGATGGGGTCTCGCTCTTGCTCAGGCTGGTTTTGAGCTCCTGAGCTCCAGTGATCCTCCGGCCTTGGCCTCCCAGAGTGCTGGGATTACAGGTGTGAGCCACCACGCCCAGCCAAAGTGTGGCTTTTTGAGTCTGTGTTGTTAGGTGAATGTATTGCCTCTTTCTGTTCAACTGACCCTTTATCATTATGAGATGTCCTTAAATACTTCATATTTTAAAAAAATCTTCCCTTCCACAATGTTCACTCTAGTTTCTCATGTGTGGTAGATGACTAGTGAAGCACTACTGCTTAATTTAACTGATTTTTGCTTAGTAAACTCTTTCCACTAGATAATCTAATAAACTTGAACTCAGTATCAACAGCCACAAATGTCAAATCAGTGGTGAATGGCTTCACAAAATTCCCCTCTGTAAATGTTTTGAAGTATTATATTGAAGTATGACTGTTGTTTACAGAACACATTTTTTTTTTGAGACAGAGCCTCAAGCTGTCCTCCTGGGTACAGTACTGTGACATCACAGCTCACAGCAACCTCCAACTCCTGGGCTCAAGCAAGTCTCCTGCCTCAGCCTCCCAAGTAGCTGGGACCACAGGTGCCCGCCACAACGCCCGGCTATTTTTTTTGGTTGCAGCCATCATTGTTGTTTGGCAGGCCTGGGCTGGATTCAAACCTGCTGCCTTAGGTGTATGTGGCTGGAGCCTTAGCCACCTGAGCCACAGGCACCGAGCCTACAGAACACATTTTAATAGAAAATACGTGTGGCCACTGATATTACAAATGAAAAAACGAACATACTGTTTAGGTTTAACAACTTGCAGTTTGCAGAAAGTGCTAAACGTATACCCCACAGTGGAATCAAACAATGTGAACACAAAATATGAAAGTACAAAGTTTAGTCAAAAGGTTTTCCATGGTTAAGTAAAACAATGGCATCTCCAATATCAGTTTATTTTTATAAGGAAGTATAAGCAGAAAAGAGTGATTCTTTCTAAACCATACTTGAAATGGAGCTGCAAAGTATCTTCCTTTCTTTCTTGGAAGCTGGGAGAACAGGGTGAAGCTGTGAGAGGACAGAAGGAAGGACAGTGAAAGTGAACAAAGATACGCTGGCCCACACCACTGTATGTCTCGCACAACTTCACCAAATTGTAACGACTTTGCTCTGTCATTAAACGGACATTAAATCTGACTCACCAAGTCTACAGAATCTACTAGTGGCTGGTCTGGTTGAAATATACAGTCCTCGTTTTCTTCTTCATTCTTTTTGCAAGGCATTTGCTTAGAAGGAAGTAAGTTATACCACAGAGTAAAAATCTCATTGGAGAACGGTAAATCTGCGAGGCTGATCTGAGTTCCAGCCTATGCAAATAAAAAAGAAAAAAAAAAGGGGGGGGGGAAGAGAAAACAAAAAAAAGAGAAGAGAAAATGTTTGAATTAGGATTTGGTTCCTCTGATATAACAAAAGATTACTGTGTGAGCTTGTTTTAGGGTAAAAAAAAAAATACAATACTTATGAGGTTAACCGCAGCTAGTTTTTTAAAACCCAGAGATTAACATTATATTTTTAGCTTTAAGAAGTAACTCTTGATCTAAAAGTCAATCCAGGTATTATACAGACAATATTTTGCCAACACCTAATGACTAAGCATGTAACTTCTTAGTAAATGTGAAATTATTTTTAAATGAAAAGTTAAAAAATAAAAATAAGAGGCTAAGGCCAAACCATAGTACTTCTTATAATATGCTGTAATATATAAGAATATGATATATTCTTAAATCAATAAACCATTATCCACTGAAAAATTTAAAACAAACAAATGAAAACTCTACTTCAGTTCTTGAATAAGAAAGAAGTCATATAGCAAAATTTTTCTTGAATATGGAAGATAGTAGTCAGAAAAAGTAAATGTTTAAGACTTTCATATTTCACCAAATCACACAAAGCCAGAATCTAAATTTAACTATACAGTTTTTACAAGGCTACCAATTAATATATTTTCTAACTTTATTAGCGCCTTTGGTATATATTATGCTAAATATGGAATTTAATATACTAAAGCCTTTCTGATACCCTAACAAATCTATTATCTTTGCTTCTTTCTAACTTTATGGTCAGACAATATTATGAAACATTTTTTTCAAGAAAAAAATCAAGAAGAAACTTATCACTCTTTAAAACTTTGTTCATCATGAAACATGCGTATTTCTATGCTTCTCTCTGGGCTGCAGAGAAAAGCTCAGGTGGGAGCTCACACTGTTGTCTGAACACACGGGCACACCTCTAGAAGATGGTTTGAACAACTTACATAACTTTCCTGGGATGAAATGATTTTCTGCTCATTATGCAAAATGGTGTGTTGAATTCACTATCAAGTATGACGTCTTCTGTGGCATCATTTAAATATCATATTGTTTTAAATAGTTACACTTTGTCTTCCTAGAAGTTCTAATACCAGGGTGGGAAGAAGGAGCTGAATAAAGGAATTACATAGTTTTTTGGTTTTTGATTTTATTTTTTGAGACATAGTCTCACTCTGCTGCCCTGGTGAGTGCCAGGGCATCATCATCACAACTCACAGCAACCTCACACTTTTCTGTGATCCTCTTGCCTCACACTCCCAAGTAGCTGGCACTATAGATGCCGGCCACCACGCCCAGCTAGTTTTATATTTTTAGTAGACGGGGGGGTCTCTTGCTCAAGCTGGTCTCAAACTTGTGAGCTCCAGAAATCCACTGGCCTCGGCCTCCCAGAGTGCTGGGATGACAGGTGGGGGCCACCGTGTGTTCAGTGCCTTGCTCAATCTAAATTGGTAACAGTGAATGACGTGGAGATGGCTTTTGGATGTCTGGCCTTCACTAGCTGTGTGACCCTGAATGCATTTCATCTCGGAGAGGCCCTTTATCTAAAAATGGTGGACAATGACACCTTTGATTCTCCATCTTTCATACAACTGTTACGAGGATTATTTCAGACTGTAATATCAGTATTATCAGTCCATAACATACACAGACACTCAGCACAGAGCGGGCCTGGGGCATAATAAGCACATTCCATAAATGATAGTCACAGCCAAAGGTAAAAGTGCTTCTGTATTTAAAAGAGAAATGGAAAGTAGCTTTTACCGAAAATTGAAACACATAAGCAGATTTTAAAGGTTTGGTATGAGAGAATGAAGAACAGAAACTACTACTTTAGGGGAAAAAAAAGAAACAAACTTTGGATGTGTTCCCCAGTGCCAGGCAGGTTTCAGGACTTTTAAAATAATAGAAACTACATTCTCCGAACACCCACTCCTAACTGTCACTTGATAACAGTAATTGGAAGACCCCTACCAGGCACTCTTCCCTCCGCTGTTTACTGGCAGAGCAAAGGTCGACTCTCAGGGTCTTCTGTTGTAAGGCTGTTTGCGAAATGGCTACTCGGAACACATCGCTGAATAAAATGGACTCTGTGGGCGGATGGACTTTGGTTCGAAACAGACAGCTGACATCAGTTGAGGAAGGAAGGACAGCGACCCTAAAATAGCTGCAAAGAACAAGAATAAAATGGATTTCGTGGGTACTTCAGTTACATTGGAGTCACAGCTATCATCTGAAACTGTCTGCAAGACAGAAAATGAGGGAAAGTTTCTATCAAGCAAACACGCTGCTGCCATCACAGGCCCTGCCCTTCACCCACCAGGCGCCAACTGTGCCCGCAGCACGCGGTAGGCCGGCCTGCCACTCACTACGGGGTCGCGGCAAAGGCGCGTGATGGGAAAGGAAGAGGAAGAAAGTCCGTGGGGTAGACGAATGTACAGCCAATTCCAAAACAATGCATTTCAAGCCTGGGAAGGTAGGACCATGCTAAGTAGGTATTAATGACTTGATCCCCAAAATCCTCTCCTGAGTATTAAACAAGAGATGCTGAGGGTCACTTCCCGGAAAGAAATACATTATCCTACCAGAGAAAAAAAAAGCTCAGTAGCACGTTGTTAAGAAAATAGAAAACATATGAAATAACAATTCACAAATATCATTGTTTAGCATCTCCAAAGTCTCAGATAGGATAAACTGTTTTAAAAGAGTCTCGTGCTTGGCTCACGCCTGTAATCCTAGCACTCTAAGAGGCCAAGGCAGGTGGATTGCCTAAGCTCACAAGTTCAAGACTAGCCTGAGCAAGACCCCCATCTTTAAAAATAGCTGGGCATGGTGGTGGGCATCTGTAGTCCCAGCTACTTGGGAGGCTGAGGCAAGAGAATTGCTTGAGTCCAAGAGCTTGAGGTTGCTGTGAGCTATGATGCCAGGGTGCTCTACCAAGGGCGACAAAGTGAGATAAATAAATAAATAAAGATAAATGTTAACATTTAAAAAAAAGTCTCATGCTTTATTATTATTATTTTTTTTTTGAGATAGAGTACTCTGTCTTCCTGGTAGAGTGCTGTGGAATCATAGCTCACAGCAACCTCATACTCCTGGGCTCAAGTGATCCTCCTGCCTCAGCCTCTTGAGTAGTTGGGACTATAGGCACCTGCTACCACACCCAGCTAGTTTTTCTATTTTTAGTAAAGAACGGGTCTTGCTCTTGCTCAGTCTGGTCTTGAACTCCTGAGTTCAATCAATCCACCTGCCTCGGCCTCCCAGAGTCCTGGGATTACAGGTGTGAGCCACCGTGCCTGGCTAAGAGTCTTATCCTTTATAAAATTTAGAGGGAGGATTATAGAAGAACAACTTCAAATATAACTTTAAAGTGAATTTTCCAAACACATATTAGGTAAGGACTCTTAATTCCTGGAAACAGCATGAGGCATTTATTTTCCTTTAAATTCTAGAAGGAGAATACCCATAAAATCTACCCTCTCCGACTCATTTCCAGGTTTGTCTGATTCATACTGTGAAATACGCCTTTCTCCAACTAGAAAAACTGTGACTTAAAATGCAGAAAGGAGGAATGTCATATTATGTTGTATTTCAGATCACCTTTAATTATGGATATTTAGCATTAAAGAACCAGTGGGCCGTGGGCCTTGGGGTACTGCTGCTAATGTAGGAGCCTTACTCTAGGTTCATTCTCTCCAGGAGGCTGAAGGTTCAGCAGGAAGAAATCATTTACTCTGCCCTGATGGAAAATCAATAAAGTGGTGTGCTAGAGAGTCAGAGTAGAGGGAGAGAATCTCCTGTTTCTCCAGACTTCAGTTTTACTACAGAGTGTGGCCTATTCACTTCAGTGATTTTAGAATGTTTCCATATTAGAACAGTGAATTTTGCATGGTTAAGAGCCAAAGGCACAAGGAAAAGAGGCAGGAGGGCTCTTCCTCTCATTTGGCCCAGGCTGGGAAGGTCTCCAAACTGGACTAGACAAAGCCACCGGCCCCTCACAGAGAACTCTCTGGCAGCTGTCAACCAGCTGAGGTGTGAACTTTGCCTGTCATAATTAGTCATCAAAGAATAAATTGAAGTTGGGGGGAAAAAAAGAACTACTTTAAGCTATCATGTACTGGCTCGGTGCCTGTGGCTCAAGTGGCTAAGGGGCCAGGCACATACACCTAAGGTGGC